TCTCTCGTATTTTATAAAAGGTATTTGCTACGTCATTATTCCAATTATTGTTACAATTAACTTCAAGGCCCCTATATTTATTATTATTATTATTAGTTTTAGCAGCGTTGTAATTATACTCGTGACATTGGTAGTCATGTTCATCATTACCATCAGGGTGTTATTTTTTCACTAGGTTGAAAAGAAAAAAAATAACAACAACAATCTATTTCTTACATGACGCTTGTAATAACAGCAATTAAAAGTTAAAACAAATTTCGTTAAAAAAAAAAAATTCAGACTATTCCTGTAATTAAAGCGGTATTTTTTCTCTTTGATGTTGTTCTTTTATTTCAAAGTTGTTTTCTTAAAATGACCTTTTCAATTGGACGCGTTAATGTGAATTAATCCTCAAAAAAAAAAAAAACAAGAAAAGAAAAAGAAAATGACTGCTTTGAAAGTCTTTCATTTCCTTCCTAAAAAAAAAAAAAAAATGGCCGCTGAATCCTATATCTACGTGCAAATAAAAATCATACCCGTGCAAAATGGCCGCTCTTCACAAATGTCACGTGATGCATTAACTATCACTGACTCGTCACACACTGCGTTAGGTTATCATATATGATTATAGCCGCTATTGTAAGCGATTGTTTGGAGTTACTAATAATGCTATCATTTTAACCGGGCTTAAACGATCTAATGTAAGCGAAACTAATAATTTGAGCCGACTTCCACAGGCTCCCCACCGACTCTACCTTTTAAAAAATTCTCTTCATCCATCATGGTTCGTAGAATTTAACAATTGTCTTTTATTTTTATGCAATGTCTATTGTGAATAAAAGAACGTTGCACAAAGCGTCCGTTCTTCGCGTCTCCCTACAGGTGGGCTGAATGGTCAACGCCTGTCTCCTTCACCTTCCCCTCTCAAACCTTTGTGTTCTGGCTTGAGGACGAGAATTGCATAATCTTTGTTCTAACCGCCCGTCCAGGCATCTTTCTAATCGGCCCCTGGTCCCGTCTCTGCAAAGCTAGCAACTTAATGCCAAAAATTAAGACAGCAAAAAACAATTTTCGATTAGGAAGGGCTCTGTTAGAGGTTAGAGGGAAATTTCTGAACGCTGCGAAATATATATATATATATTGAATACAGCATACTCTCGTTGAAGAACGTCCGCCCTCAACGAAGGCTATGGGATAGCGCCTCACCTTCTTTGACAGAAGGAAAACCACACAGATGAATATTCAATTGGAAATCAAGTTTCACTAAACAATACAGAAATGAAAGCATTTTTTGATTGCTTATTTGTACCGTCGAAGATTCCAAAAGACAAGTGTAAACGCTTTAAAATATTACTGTGTTCAGAAAGAAATGACGTTTTACAAGAAAGGATACAAAAACGAACGTCAGTTAAATTTATCGAAATATTATTGTGTACGGAAAATAATGGCGTTTTACCTGGAAGGACAAAAACGAACGTAATTTAAATTTATTTATCAGAAATGTAATCACCTTTATTTTCAACGATTCAACAGGAAGGCAAATTTTCGATTCCCCGTTTAAAAAATCTGGACTTTCACCAAAATACGTTTAAAAGACCTTCTTTGTTTCTAAATATGCTAAAGCTTATGAAATATTCTAGAGACCAAAACATATTAATATCTCTGGGTGTTAAATCCTGTGAGTATGGAGAATGCAGCAGAAATTTCCATCCAAAAGATCTAATTTTTTCTTGGATTCGTTTTGCGAAGTTTGGCTCTTGCATTTTGATGCTGGAGAATAACACCTTTACTGTTTAACAAATCATTCTCATTAACTGATCAACTTATATACTCGTGTATACACCGACTTCATGTATAGTGCAACCCCTGAACTTTTTGCAGAAATTTTAACCCCCTCCAAAATATGTGTATAGAGCGTCACTTTTATTTTTGGCGTAAAAATGGTCATTAAAAACGAGGGTGGGGTAATGGCTAGCGGCTCGGATTGAAGAATCGGAGAGCAGAGTTCGAATTCTAGTCGAATCTATTACATTCACTTACGTGCTAATACCCTTGGGAAAGGTAAGGATCCTCTTCTTAGCCCAGCTATGGGTAAATAGCAGGACACCTATAAAGAAATGGGAAAAAAATCTGCCTCGTCAGTCATATATCAAAAGTCAGTCATATATCAAAAGATACACGATCGCCTAAGCGTGTATAACGCATGGCACATAACTGACTCTACTCGAGTATAGTATATATACTAGCCATAAACGTAGGCACTGATAGTCATTCCATGTTTCATTATGTTTTAATGGACGCTTATATTCCACTAAACACCAAGGACCTATGTGGATGGTGTTCTGCTCTTTTGGTGTTTGTACTGGTTTCTAATTTTGTAAGAATCACTGTTTTTTTTTCTCTGTTGACATACAAAACCCATTTTTCACCACCGCTAACGACAGGATGCAAAGGAATTATTGTTATTTCTGGTTAAAAGAATATTGCGAATGACAGAAAGTTGCGTGCAGTTTTCAAGCGCAAACTCATAAGGAACTTAAATTCCCTCTTTACAAATTTCCTTTGCTTCATTTGCTTCAAATGTACATGGATAGTTGAACATGGCATATTAAATTTATTGCACGAAATATCTGGTGCTTCGACGCGGAACTAAAATTATCATTCAAAAATTCTTCATTCAGTATGGACCGTCTATAACCGTCTTGTAAAACGACAATTGACATGCACGAAACTTCACTTCAGCAGTTTACACGGCGTAAATGTTTAAAATGCCGCTGTGGCAGTGTTATCCGCGACTAATTCATACAGGAAGCAATGAAGAAAATGCTTATTAAAGATCTAATTCTCCATGGAGTTAATTTCTGAAATACATTATAATCGACATAGTATTTTTTTAAAATCATTTCACCCCAAGCAAGACGATAAGATGGTTGGGAGTTACTGGATGTGAGAGAATACAATAAAAAAAATATTAAGGAGTATGGACGATAAAAGATGATGATATAAGAAGACACAAAATCAATGAATACCGAATGTTTTATTATAAGGAAACGGCTAATATTACCATTATAATTTTCAGTTTGTACTGAAGTGAATTAATTTTTCACTAAAAAAAATTCCGTGAATAAAACCTCTTCATAATATTTACAATTAATACAACACGGTTGAAAATAAAGGCAGATAGCTTAATTCGCATAATTAAACAAAGAAAAGATTACTGAACTGTTATGTAAGATCAATCGTCCTATATGACAGTGAATGTTGGACAATCTCCTCAAGGATAAAGAGACTTGAAGGAACAGAAATGTGGTTTTGCAGAAAGATGCTGAAGATACAATGGACCGAATATATGAGCAACGAAGAAGTTTTAGAGAAAATAAAAAAAGGAACTTATATGAAAGAAAGTAGAGATTGAAGGTAAGAGAGACAGAGGAAAGCAAAGCATAACCTACTTAGCGAGCTTGAATAAATGGATCGCGGGAATAAGGAGAGATGGTAAAAAGATTACATTTATTAAGAGTTACAAAGGACAAGAAATTGTGGAGAGCCATGATCGCCAACGTCCTGAAAGAAAGAATTCAAACGTCACATGCATGTTTTCCCTGAAAATAGCTTTCGATTTCGTAACCTTCCGTCTTGGCTAAAACACTGACAATACTGGAAAGAGCGATAACAGCTAGCGAATTTAAGAAACCTTGTTTCTTGAAAAATTGTTTTAATAGAAAGATTTTAAAGGGTGTTCCAATAAATTGGACCGATTTTAAATGTGAATTAAGTTTAAGCGTCTAATGATTTTTTTTCTTTTTCTTTCAGATTTGACGGACATTTGGGCGATGTTATTTTTCACACATAATTGGCATGACTTAAATAACATGATGCAATAGAGAAATAATTTTTCACTAATAACACTGATTTATTTACTGCTAACTTTGTTCCGTCTTAGTGAAACACCCTATATATATATATATATATATATATATAAAGGGTGTTCTAATAAGTTGGTCCGATTTTAAATGTGAATTAAGTTTAAGCGTCTAATGTTTTTTTTCTTTCAGATTTGACGGACATTTAGGCAATATTATTTTTCACACATAATTGCCATGACATAAGTAACATGATCCAATATAGCAATAAATAAATTTTCAATAATAACACTGATTTATTTACTGCTGACTTTGATCCGTCTTAATGAAACACCCTTATATATAATCCGTCATAATGAAACATTCCATGAAATCCAACAGTAGCTGTTTGGTCAGTGAATGTTGAATGTTTCCTTATAAGGAAACGGTTAATATTACTATTACCATTTATAGTTTCTCTTTGGCACTTCTAAATGCCACGTCATTATTCTTGCACTTATGAATCAAAATCATGAAGTGTTTACTTCTTAGCTTGGCACTGGTTATCTGAGATCACAGACAGTAAAAGGACACCTCAGCATGAGGTAATGGCGAATGAGGCTAGCGCAGCTGACCATTACTACTGAGTAGTTTGATTTGTCTTTTACGATTTATCAACCCTTTACAGGTTATTTAAAGCCAAATATTTTTAGATTGTAAGATTTTTTGCGAGGTGGGGGAGATAATGATTTCTATTAATACAAGTTCTACTAATTAACCTGAGAAGAGGGGGATTTATATCTTTATCAAAGGCATTTGTGCCTAAATGAATATAAAGAATCCGACTGGAACACGGCTCTCTGATTTCCAATTCCGAGCCCTTATCCATTACACCACCCGCACATATATGCTTACATCACATGAGGTTCACAAGCGGTTACCCATCAGGTTCCACAGTGTTTAACTTCACTGATCATACGAGAACTGGTGGTTCAACATGATATGACCATAAGCGTCTTTAAAATCACCTCACATACAAGCTTACAGCGCTTTTATTTCCCAAACGGTCACCCATCTAGTTACTGACCAGGCTCGACGTTGCTTAACTTCGTTGACCGTACGAGAACGAGCGTTGCAACGTGACAAGACCATAAAGCCTTTAAAATACTCGCACATCGCTTTCAGCACTTGGCATTCCCAAGCGGTCACCCATCCAGATACTGACCAGGCTTGACGTTGCTTAACTTCGTTAACCGTACGAGAACGAGTGTTGCAACGTGACAAGACCACCAGTCCTCTAAAATACTTAAGCACGTCGCTTTCAGCACCTGGTATTCCTAAGCGGTCACCCATCCAGGTACTGACCAGGCTCGACGTTGCTTAACTTCGTTGACCGTACGAGAACGAGTGTTGCAACGTGACAAGACCATCAGTCCTCTAAAATACTCGCACGTCGCTTTCAGCACCTGGCATTCCCAAGCGGTTACCCATCCAGGTACTGACCAGGCTCAACGTTGGTTAACTCCGGTGATCGTACTAGGACCAGTGTTTCAACATAATATGGCCGTAAGTCTCTAGTGAGTAGTAAGATCGATCCTAGTGGAGGATCCATAAAAAAATCGATCATGAAGTAAGCCAACATGAGTAAACCTGTGATAAACTCAACAAGTCAAGCAATGATTCAAGTAATGGTTGATTAGGCTTGTCTGATTGACCATAAATAATGAATAGTGTGTTCGATTCTCGCTAGGTGCCTCATACACAAAATTGCCATTAAATAACCTAACAAAGATCGATATGTAAAATGATCTAACCTTAGCTAAATAATAGAAATAATCTAAAACGAACAACAGAGGTGACTCGACGTGGGTCTATGAGGCAAGTCCAGCTGACCATTGCTACTAAGGAAGAAATTAGATTCTCCCTGAGTGACCCATGCAATATCTTAACATTAAATTACTCATCAAGGGTCGACATGTAAAATCAAACAACAATCGGCCTGGGGTATAGGTTATAAAGGTTACTATGTTTATCATTAATACTGAATAGTCAGTTCAATCCTCACTAGGTGACTGTTGTGGATTCCGGGTTGAAATCCGGTACCAATAAATAATAAAGGCCAGGAATGAATATATGAAAATAATGTATTAACGTAATAATACAAACTGGTAAAGCAGGTTAGTAGTTCCAGGAATACGGGTTAGTAGCAAAATATATATATATACAGTCTTTGGTATTGAAGTATCGCTGTATGACTTCTTACTGAGTCTACGTGCTCGCTCACGGTGACTCCTACAACGCTGTTACCTCACCCTCACTCTTCCGGTTACCTACAACCTTTTACTCTGTCACTCTAAACTCGACTCAACTCTTCGGTCTTACTCTCTCTTACTCTCGTCTCGCTCTTGCAGCAGTATATATATATACTGGCTGAGTTCATTTGTATAAAAAGGGGTGGACCCCTCAACAGTGACCCATACAAAATCCGATATTGGTTGACTTTTCAGAAAATCAACGAACCAACCAATCATTGCTTTATCACTGCCACTCAGCACGAGGTAATGGTTAACAATGCCAGTCTGCGTCACCATAACCACTGAGTATTTAGTGGCTGATTCATATGAAATTTCCACATTAAATAAGCTGATAAAGGTCGACAAGTGCCATGCACGTGACACACGCTCAGTCGATCATGTCTATTTCGATACATGACTGACGAGACAGAAGATTTTTTTCCGCAGTAGACAGTCGTTTCCGTCAGCTGTAGACTAGTTGCCAACCAAAGCTATCGGCCTGTTTGCAACCCATAACTGGGAGAGGAGGGGGAAGAGATAGATTCATACCCTACCCAAGGGAATTTGTGAACGTAAATACAACGAACCTGATTGGAATTCGAACTCTGTTCTCTGATTCTGAACTGTTACCCATACGTAACTGAAATAAAGAAAATAAAATTTACATTATTCGGACTATTGTCCTCATCTTTATTGCCATATTTATCATAATGTTCAGTTCGACATTCCAACCACTTGAAGAAGGCCGGAGCGTACAACGGCCTACACATTGTGATAAATATGGCGACAAAGATGAAGACAATAGTCCGAATAATGTAAATAGTGTACATAATACCTCATCTCAGAAATATAGCCAGATCCTGAAGGGCCGAAAGGTTGTAATAACTATGGCGACAAAGATGAGGACAATAGTCCGAATAATGTAAATAGTGTACATAATACCTCATCTCAGAAATATAGACAGGCACTGAAGGGCCGAAAGGTTATAATAACTATGGCGACAAAGATGAGGACAATAGTTCGAATAATGTAAATAGTGTACATAATACCTCATCTCAGAAATATAGCCAGATCCTGAAGGGCCGAAACGTTGTAATAACTATGGCGACAAAGATGAGGACAATAGTCCGAATAATGTAAATAATGTACATAATACCTCATCTCAGAAATATAGACAGGTACTGAAGGGCCGAAACGTTGTAATAAATATGGCGACAACGATGAAGACAATAGTCCGAATAATGTAAATAGTGTACATAATACCTCATCTCAGAAATATAGACAGATACTGGAGGGCCGAAACGTTGTAATAAATATGGCGACAACGATGAAGACAATAGTCCGAATAATGTAAATAGTGTACATAATACCTCATCTCAGAAATATAGACAGATACTGGAGGGCCGAAACGTTGTAATAAATATGGCGACAAATATGAAGACAATAGTCCGAATAATGTAAATAGTGTACATAATACCTCATCTCAGAAATATAGAAAGATACAGAAAATAAGATATATAGAATAAGATTTGAGTCGGCATGCGTTAAGTGTTAATGAAGCTACTCTGGTTGACCATTGCTACTGAATAGTGAATTCGGTCCTCACCGAGTACCCCATACAAAATACGAAATTAAATAAGCCAATAAGATAAAACAATCATTTTTTATCACGACCACTCAGTTATTTCTGGTTCCTCGGGTGGGATAATGCTTACTGAGGTTCACTACGGTCCTCACTAAATACATAGCAGAAGCACCAGACCAGATGTTCCAGTAATATTCAATGTATGGATGAATGGTAGATTTATAACTATGTAAGATGTATTCTTGCGAGAAGAATTTGTCTTGCACGACACAGTGACACAACTTTCCTAGCAACAGACCTAGCAATTGATTCAATATAATCTTTCCACTTCTTCATGTCAGTGTAAAACATTAACCAGATATGTTGCAAGGGGTCACTCACCGGGAGGTTAGCATCAGCCATGTTGATTAAAAACAAAAAAGAAGGTTCTCTAAGACGATTAAAAGAAAGAAGATTTGCTTTGGAGCGTTAAAATTAAGCCAGTTTAATTAGAAACTTCCTTTATATTTCAGTTTATTTTTTTAAGATCCGTTTCTAGGTATTTACCTGAGACCTCCCCACAAGGCGGGATGTGGCACAAGGCCGATTTTTAACGTGGAGCGTTTCGAGCCCGTAGGTCCGGGCAAAAATTGTCCGTAGACTTCGTATACATGGTGTCGGGTAGCTGTCGACCTCCCCAGGCATAAATCCGACTGGGTTCGACAACTTGATGCTTGTTCAAGCCTAAGCTGGAAAGCAATCCAGACCTGATTCTAACATGAATTGTTGTTCTTCGTGTTAGTCGACTTTTAGCTCATGTACCCTACCCTAATATGAGATCAGATTTAATCCTGTTATCATTTCGTCCTGGGTATGACGATAAACTACATCCGCGTCCTGAGTATGACGATAAACTACATCCGCGTCCTGGGTATGACAATAAACTACATCCGCGTTCTGAGTATGACGATAAACTACATCCGCGTCCTGAGTATGGCGATAAACTACATCCGCGTCCTGGGTATAACAATAAACTACATCCACGTCCTGAGTATGACGATAAACTACATCCGCGTCCTGAGTATGGCGATAAACTACATCCGCGTCCTGGGTATAACAATAAACTACATCCACGTCCTGGGTATGACGATAAACTACATCCACGTCCTGGGTAAGACGATAAACTACGTCCAACAGCAAGGCCTTTGACCAGGCGGTTTTGTTGAGCGTGGAACCACCTCTTAATTGCTGGTTTTCCCAGGTCCACCCTAACCCGGGATGGTAGCACCTGTTAGGGTCCCAGCTATGGGCAAATAGTTAACACTCAGACTACATCCGCGTCTTGGGTATGACGATAAACTACATCCACGTCCTGGATATGACGATAAACTACGTCCAGCAGCAACATAATACGTTTTTGAAAGAAATAATGTTGCCAGCTATACGTTTTTTCTTTTAAAGAATAGTGTTGCCTGCTATACGTTTTTGAAAAAAAATAATATTACCAGCTATACGTTTTTGAAAAAAAATAATATTACCTGCTATATGTTTTTGAAAAAATAATATTACCAGCTATACATTTTTGAAAAAAATAATATTACCAGCTATACGGTTTTGAAAAAAATAAGGTTACCAGCTATACATTTTTGAGGAAACAATATTAACAGAAATAGATTTTTGACAAAACAAAAATATTACCAAGAAAAAAAAAAGTTGTCGGCATTAAATGACCCATTGCGGTTGATGTGCCGTAAAACAACACAACACAAACCAAACCAAACCTGTTATCATTATGAAAAGAAATCCCCTTTTTTTGTTGTGTGAATAGTTTATTTGTCATTTCAAAGCCCCAATATGGGTAGCTACATTTATACCTTCTCATGCCCCATACAAAATTTGATGTTGAATTAAAGCAACAATGTTTGATATATCATAAAATCAGCAAACCAAACAATCATTGTTTAATCATTGTCATTCAGTGATTACTGGTACCTCCGGAAGTCGTAAGTATTAATGAGGGTAGTCCGGTCGTCCATTGCTATTGAGTAGGGGGTTCGATCCTCGCTGCCTGCCCAATAAAAACATTCGATATTAAATAATGTTGGGGCGCACCCACCTTCTCATCAGAATGGACTGATCTCTCTACTACTAATAGGGCAGTTCGAGAGAGTTCTGGGAGATCAGGTGACCATCACACTTCCGTCTCTCTACCAGAAGATACAGTTGGACTTTATACTCTTTCTGATTGTTACTGACTAACCTGCGTTCGTTTGACTATTAGTCTCTCTGTTGTAAATACCTCTTCAGATATACCAGTATTTTTCCCTACGTATGTGTTTGTCCTTATTTCAATACACGCACGGGGAAACACTCAACATCTCAACAGCAACTTTTCTTTTTATGTGCCATGTCGTTTCAGGACGTAGACAATCATGGCTCTCCACCTCCCTCTATCCCTTGCAGCTCTCAACAAGTTCCTTCCTTCTGTTTCCTCCCCCAGACCACGTTCTGTCATCCACTTGCTTAAGCCCGCCAGGTATGTCACGTATTGTTTTCCCTTGTCTCTCTTTCCCTCTATTCGATCCGTGACTATCAGATTCTCCAGACCTCCTTTCTCACTTTGTTTCCTAGAAACTTCAGCTGCCTCTTCCTGGTGTTAAATATAAGCCTCTTTCTTGTCTGCATCCTCTCTAAGACCTCATTCTTCCTCAC